GGCTCAGCAACAGGCTCAGCAACAGGCTCAGCAACAGGCTCGACAGACTCAACGGGCTCAGTGACAGACTCGACGGGCTCAGTGGTGGGTTCGACGGCCGGCTCGGCAGCAGATTCAACCATCGGCTCACCAGCCTCTGTCTTCTCTGTGCTCTTGGTCGCTTCTTCTGCGACTGGCTCCTCAGCAACGCCCTTGGTGGGGACATGCTCTGCTGCGAGCTCCTCTTGTGGCTCGCTGACTGCGGGCTGTTCCGCGGGTTTCTCTTCTTCTTGGGCTTCCTCGACCTTAGCCGGTGCTTCAACTTGGTTCTCCGCAGCAGGCTCATCGGCCGAGGCGCTAGGAGTAACCGCTTCAGTGGCCGCCTCCTGGACAGCTGGTTCCTCGGAAGTTGACTCTTGAGAGGGCTGTTCAGACACTACATCTTTGGGGCTCTCATCCTTTGCAAGTTCATCAATAGCAGGGATGGCGACAGCCGCTTCGGTCACAGAAGGTTCTACCGGTGCAGTCTCCTCGACAACGCTCTCAGCCACTGATTGCTTAGGAGCTTCCTTGTCGGTGGTCACATCTTCCTGCTGCTCTTCAGTGTGTGCCACCTCCGCAACTTCAGCTTCAGCAGGTGCCTGAGTGGTGGTTTCCTGCTCAGCAGGTCGAGTCACCTCACTGGTCTGCGGCTCTGGGACTGGATCCTCCGTTGCGGACTTCGAAGAAAGAACTTCCTCGGCAGTCGAGGGTTCCTCTACTGTCACATCCTTAGAGGCTGCCTCTTCAGCAAGCTCCTTCTCAGTAGCGTCCTCCTGAGCGACCGCGGTTTCGACGGGTTCTTCAGCAACCAGTGCCACCGCTTCGGGTTCCACTGTGTCTGGCTCAACGGCCTCCACAGCCGGGGCGGATTCAGTTGTCTCCGCCGCAGTTGGCTCTTCAATAGTCACTTCAGTGGCCTTGGTTTCTTCAACAGGCTCGTCGCTGGTCTCGGTCTCCTGGGCGGTGGCCTCCTCAGTTGTAGCCTTCTCGGGACCGCAATCCTTGCAGAGAGTAGGCTCGTCGGCGGGCGATTCGGACTTCTCAGTAACGGCAACAGGTTCTTCAATTGCCTCCTTTACCTCAGATACTTCCGCAGGAACTGCTTCCTGGGTAGCAGCAGCTTCCGTGGACTCGTTGATGGTCACCTCTTCGATAGCTTGCTCTCTGGTGGTCGCGATGGCTTCTTGGGCCGGTTCAACAGTGGCCGGCTCTTTAGCTGCAGCTTCGACCTCGGGAGATTCGCTCGCAGGTTCAGTGGCAGTCTCAGGAGCCGATGCCTCTGGCGCCTCGGGAGCAGAAGGAGCTTCGTCCTTGAACTCAGCAGTTTTTTCCTCGCTTGCTTCGACCTCGGACTCGTTTGCGGGTTCTTGGGTAACGGAGTGTTCCTCAACCTCTGGCTCTTCAGTCTTGGACACTACCGCAGGCTTCTCGCTCGAAGCAGCCTCTTCGGTGACAGGAGTTTCAGCGGCAACTTCTGGGACTACTGGTTCGCTCACTTCCGATGGCTTGGAAGACTCTTCAGCAACAGACTCCTGAGTGACAGGCTTGTCCTCATCCAGAGTCTCAGCCCCAGCTTCATCTTGAACAGGTTCTTTGACGTCTGCTTCGACAACAGCGGGTTCTGGTGTTGTTTCGGTTGTGGGCTCTTCAGCTGTGGCTTCCTTGGAAGGCTCCGCGGCAGGAAGAGTTTGATTCGGCGTTCCCTCGCTGACTGGGTCCTTAGCAGGCTCCCCTGCAGTAGTGGACTCTTCCGTTGGAGCTTCGAGCTTCGTGGCAGGTGTCTCCTCAACAGCAGCTTCTTCGGCTGCCTGTGGCTCAGGTTCCTCGGCCGCTACCACTTGAGTGGTCTCGTCCTTAGCTGGTTTCTCGGTCTCCTCGGTTGAGGCAGATTGAACCGCAGGCTCATCACTGACAAGTTCCTTGGCGGGTCCTTCAGTAGCGGTAGACACCTCCGTATGTGTCTCAGGCTCCTTGCCGGTGATTTCTTCTGCGGCTGCCAATTCGGTAGAGGATTCCTTTGTAGATTCTTCGGCCTGAGGCGCCTGGATTGCCGGTTCATCGCTGATAGGCTCCTTGGCGGACTGTTCGGCAGCAGTAGGCTCTTCCATGGGTGCCTCAACCTCCTTGTTGATGGTTTCACCAGCGGCTGGCTCTTCCGTTGCCGGCGCCTCGGGCTCCTTGGCGGTTGTCACTTCCGCAGTAGGGGCTGAATCCTCTGTGGAAGCAGTCTCAACAGATGGCTCGTCAACGACAGTGTCCTTGGCAGAGTCTTCGGCGACCGCAGGCTTTTCTGCGGATTTCACCTCAGGCTCCTCTACAGCAACTGCCTGGACCAGTGTCTCCTTAGCCGGATCTTCGGCAACAACTGTCTCAGTTGCTTGTTCCTCGTGGATCGGTTCCTTGGTGGATTCCTCAACAGCTGACTCCTTCTCGGCATCAGGGGCTGTCTCTTCGACCTTCTCGGTCGTCGATGACTCCGCGACAGGGGTCTCTGCAGCAACTTCCTTCTTAGAATCTTCAGAAATCTCCTCGGGTGTAAAGTCCTTGATTGGTTCCTCAACAGCGGCCTCGTCGGTAGCCGAGTGCTCGACACCTGAAGCCTTGACTGGCTCGTCGGTCACCTTCTTCGCCTCGACAGACTCCTGTGCCGGTTGTTCTTCCACATTGTTCAGAGAGGATGACTCATCCTCGATGCTCGTTTGAACATTCTCTTCAGCGATAGGCACCGCAGGCACTGTTTTCTCTGAAGATTCTTCGGCAAGTGGCGCCTCATCAGCGGCTGTCTCTGTAGGGGCCGTCTCGGCATGTGTCGGTTCGGCAGAAGATGGCTCTACTGGGTTAGATTCCGCAACAGGCACCTCCTCCGTCGCATTTTGCGCGGGCGTAGCTTCTTCCTGGGACTTTTCGAAGGCTGGCTCTGGCTCTTCTGATTCTTTGGCGGCTTCCGTCTTTTCTTCAACTGCAGCAGGGACGATTTCAACATCTTGCGGCTTCTGATCTTCAGCCTTCTCAACCTCAGCCTTCTCAACCTCCTTTGCCTCAGGCTTCTCGGCTTCAACCGAAGTGCTGGGAATCTCTTCAGGCTTGCCTTCTTCGTCGTCTTTTGTAGTTGTCAAAGAACCCTCGGCCGCCTTCTCTTCCACTGGCTCCGTCTTCTCCACAACAGCATCATCAGGTTGTGATCCTGGAATCTGCTCAGTAGAGTGTGTGCCGTTGGTCTTAGGTTCTGCGGCTGCGTTAGAGGCAGGTTGCGTTTCGGCGTCCTTCTGGATGCCGCTCTGGTTGGATTTCTCGGAAACAGGCTCCAGCTTCACCTCCTGTGTTGTGGGTTCCGACTCAGCGTGGAGGTCTTTCTCAGCAACCACAGGGATATCAGTCTCCTTTGGCGCTTCATCCTTCACCGCCTCGGTCGTCGTCGTGGTTTGCACCTCGGACTCTTTCGCGGTCTCCTCAACCTTCTCGCTGGTGCCATTCTCAAGAGGAGTTTCGGCTTCCTTCTCGACAGCCTTAGCTTCTGCAGCAACAGGCTCCGCAGCAGGCGAACTCGAGGCAACAGTGAGGATATTGTTGACGACGCCTTCGTCGTCAGCAGCTGCAATCACGGAACTGGTCAGCTCCAATCCAACAGTATCAGACACAGAGATAAGCTTCGTACCATGCTTCGCATTCTTATCGTGGAACCACGGTCCGTCAGAACCCTGCTTGAACCGATACTGGTATTGACCCTCGAGCAATTCAACATCCCGGGAGAAGAGGTATTCGGTCTTAGTGGAGTTGCCGTCCGCATCCTTGTGCTCTACGGGTTTGGCGCTGAGCTCCAAGGGCTCCCATTTGGGATTCGAGAAGGTCCCCGCAACATAGATGGCGGGGGTCTCCGTTGGACGACGGATGGAAATAGTGACGGTCTCTCCATTGGTGAGAGCCATTATGGTCATAAAGGTCGTAACAGTCGTTAGGTATCACAGACAAACAAAACAGAAAAAGATATCAAACGCGAACAGGATTGGAGAACAAAGGTCTTTATCGAATCAAGTCTCCCACGATAGAACAAAGTACCCCTCAAACAGCAAGAGATGAAATAGTATACAGGGACGCGGTAGTTGGATCGGACAGAAACCTCTCGAAATGAACAAGTAGACAGGAAGATGGGTCGGTGGGAGGTTGTGAGAGGTATCGTCAGAGGGGTTGTAGGACCAAGCGTGGATTGGTCCGATAAGGGAGACTTAAGGTGGTAGAAAGACAGCGAAAACAAACAATCGATGGGAGTCAGACAAGGAGATCAACTCGAGGAGACAGATGAGCGAGGRGGAGGAGCTAGGAAGCCGAGGAGCCGGAGTGCAGGTGATTCACAAGAAAAAAAAAAAAAAAATGCGGTGCCCACGGAAGCCAATGGACGGATGGAGTCGTCAAAGTGCAAGCTGTATGTCAAAGACGGTTAGAAGCCCTCGCGACTCGGGCATAGTGCCACAGAAAGTGGCATGGCTCTGGCCGTTAGTTACTTACTATGTAGTTAGTTAGCGGGGCAGCAGCAGTTGTCACAGTGATCAGGCTCCGCCCGTTATTTGGGTGCTGCCAGACTGAGCTAGTGGCTTTCTCGAGGTGATTTGGACACCAGTCACGGAGCTGTGGCTATATAGATTAGATAGGGGATACGGAAGACACAGAATGAGAACATCTTAGATTGAATCCTGATTGACTTGGACTCCTTCAGAGACCGACGGCCGATATAGAGTCAACGCCAGCTTCAATGAACGATGATGATACCTAAGGTAGCATGATTCTACATCCATACAAACTTTCCCAGCTGCGTAGGTTACTGATAATTTTGCGCAGATCCTCGAGGTAGCACTCTAGTGTAGACTAAGCCACGAAGGCTCGGGACTGGCGCCAGAGCACAAAATGCGGTGAGTTGGCGGTTTCCGTGCTGCCAATCACATCCCAAGTAACTTTTTTTTACATACTCAAAGTAGAGAAGATCAAGTTGCTTTGTATTATTTCCTGCTTCTTAGCTGTACTCTGGAGAATTCCACTAAGGCATGTTGTGCACAATGATCGAGTCCAAGGAAAGAGAAATTTCTGCATTCAAGAAAAGGAGAGGCACAAGTGGATTCGGTATCAGCAAAATAAATGGTGTGTGGCGCCATACAGTCCCGTCTTTACTGCTAGTCATTTGGTAGGACCCTCTCCGTTTATCCTGCCGTCGCCCGTCATGCCATGAGATAATTTCATGTTATTATTTCATCAGTACTGTTCAAGTTATTATCCAAGGACCTTTGAAGTAAAGCATGGAGAGATCTGATTCGACCAGTCCCTGAACTACCTAAGGTACCCTACGATAGTAAACCTTGGTTCGCAGAAAGCAACTTCAGTAAGGTATATGCAATGCAGCACTAAAGCAGGAAATCCTCGTCTTCCTCCAGACGCAGTCGCGATCAAAATACTTCGTAGTATCCATATGCTCATACGGATAAAGGGGTGTCTTTGTGGGCCAAACCTCGAGCCAGCATCATAGTCTCAGCACCTAGTCTACTTTCTCCTTTATCCTTGTTGCTATTTTTGCTTGTGGTCGTCGATGCTGTCCTGGTGTTGGATTTCTCACGAGCCATGGAACGGCTTCCTCGGTTATTTGTCCTACCGAGAGAGTAGTCTGTGTAGCCCTCTTACTCACAACTACCCGTGTAGTTGTACTCGATCACTCAAAGTGAGGGACTTTATATTTCTCTGGATGGCAGTGCCTATTATTGTCTGATAGATGACTCGTGACCTCCACAGCAATCCTGGTTGCTCTAGCGCTGTCGATCTTCGCGTACATGCTGCAGCCTGCAGGTGTCGACATCTGGTAGAAAATAGTGGGCGAACTAAAACAGAGAATGCAGCTCTCAGATAGAATATAATACAAAGGTTGGCGTCTTCTGAAGATCAGTCGTCCATGTTACGATATTATTTACGTCAATCCTAAAGAGAAAATGCAATGCAGTCGTAACAGAAACCACGAAATGGGACTAACAAATATTTATCAGGACAGCGATGAGACGTTCGATCTTGCAAACCAGGTCGCTGGAATAACAGAAATCAATTACAAGAGATCTCAAACACAGAAGCACGCCTTTAACAGCTCATAAAACCTGGACCGAAAACCCGAGAAATCAACACAGGAACTGCAGGTTGCAATCACGTCAACAGAACGCAGGACGAAGGTATCTGAAAAGATATTCGAGACCGAAAAAAAAGGCATTAACGTCAATATATCTCCAAATCCTCAAATTCCACCACCAACCCTTCCTCAGAGCCGGCTGTGGCGATGCTGCCCAGCATCGGACCGTTCATCATCGCCCACATGGTGCTATTATGCGAGATATTGGCCGGCCGGCTAGCATACACACCCACGTGGACAAACTTGTCTTCTACCCCGTAGAAGAACCAAGTCACTTCTCGTAGCTTCTTCCACGTGCTGCCCACAGCACCTGGTGTCCTTGCAAAAGGAGACAGGGTTGGAATCTGATACCAGACCACAAGTGAATGACCAACGCGCTCGAACTTGATCCGCAGAGAATGCACAGTCGTCGGTCCATTGTCAGGCAGGCAGAGGGGCGAAACGCACCAGTCAGCTCCATCAGCCGTTGCACTAACTGAGGATGCGTTCACTGTCCCCGAGCAGAATTCCATGCCGGCTTTGACCCATTTGCACGGCCGCAGAGACCGGGATATTTCGTGACGGCTAAACGGCGTCACTGCTGATATTGGCACGTTCTCTGAGGAAAGGGATTGAGGTGCGGCTCCGGCGAAAACCACGATGCCCCCTTGATCGGATTCCATCTCCCAGTCCGCACTCACAGTGACTTCGGCGACTACGAAAGGGTTTCGTAACGAGGTAAAAACGATAGGCGCCGTAGCAGTGTCTCCGTTGGGCGGCTTGCGCCAGAGATCCGTGTTAGGACCGGCAGTCAGAGTAAAGTATTCCATGCACTCCGGTAGTGAGAATGTTGAGGGTAAATTCAACGTACTGAACGAAGAACCGTTAGGAGACATTGTGTGAGTCGCCTGGCTGGGCCAAATATTTCCAAATTAGGAAAGATTTGCCTTATGAGCCTTTTACTCGCAGTCGAGCCTGTCTTCCTCAATGCAAGCGTCGAATTTTCTTTGGCAATTCCTGCGCAACATGAGTTTTCGAACAGCAATAGCCTGGAAGCCGTTCTGAATACAAGTAAGACAGTGATGGGCAGGAAAACACGAAGAGAGAGAAGGCAAAGGATAATCAGGTTATGATGGAAAACGGGTTCTAGTCCCAGCCAGAAGCAAGGGAGTTATACTTCTCTCTCCAGAGTCCACGGGGTCACCCCATGCCGCGATTTGATGCGGGTCAAGGATCCCAATAGTATAATGTGAAGGTGAAGATCAAGACCAGTGGTGAACAAAGAGTGCAGACTTACCCAGTCTGGGCGCAATGAAGCAATCAAGCTAGAAAAAGTAAAGAGACACTTCAAGAAAAAAAGCAAGTTAGACTGAACAGGCCTCTCAGACACCGGAAGATCGAAGACAAAATTCTGAGCTTGTGTGCTCGACAGAACGATACAACCCGCGCAAGGAGTCAGAATCCAATGCAAAGATGAACCTCGAGTTCTCAACAATAACCTTGATTCGCAACGCGATGTTTGTGAGAGGCGCGCGGCAATTCAAACACTCTATTAGCAGATGATGGACGTTAACAAATATCCAAAGCGAGTCATCATGAAAACGCGAAATGCAGAGAATAGCCAACTTATAGTGTCGGGCGAGATGTCAACTTCCTCGCCCCCTTTAACTGGGTACAAGAAACCATTGCTTTGTTGGTTCCGACATGTCGGGTCTCTATCCTCCGGCACTTTCTGCTTCCATTCACTCCTCAAAATTTGATACAAACCCCAGTACGAGAGTTTCTGTAGATGCTGATTTGCCATCCAGGTGTAGTTCTGCCGTCCAGTTGCTGCAACGCAGTTCACAATTGGCGGGTCCAGCTGCAGTTCTTGGGACAACAAACAGCAGCAGGTTTACGCAAGTGATAAGTTGTGGGTGAACGGTCCGATCCCGAACAGCTGAAAAAAGTAAAACAGCCAGGGAGTGGTCTGGTTTATGGACCTTAGGGCACAAGCTGAGAGAAGAGAAGGAAATCTAGTGGCAGGGTTTTTCAAGTGTGGAGGGTGTTAGTTCTATTTATTGTTTCGCCACTGCCAACACAACCCTCTGCCACTCGGAGTTGGCGATATATCGTGCTCGTCTGCTCAGAGCTGAAGTCAGACTGATTGTTTACCACGATGTCTTACGCCACACTTGACTCAACCATTCTAAGTTCTATCTTGTCATCGCCGTCTCTGAAGCACAGCCATTGCCAAGGGAATACTTTTTGTGGCTAGTCTGCACGCTTACATCTCTTCTTCTAGGGACATGCTTGCGAGTTAGCGAGTACAAGGATCAAACTTGTCAGATCATGCACGAAGCCTCAATTGGAACTATGAACATAAGCATGTTTTTCCGAGGCGATTGAAGCAAACAGTTGACAGGTACGCCAAATCACAAATCACAATCGAAATCGGACGGACAATGAAGCATTACCCACAAGGAGCGGATCTGTCTATCAATCGGAGTCCTCGTTTTCTTATCATGGGTGTCCAGCCTTTGAAAATCTACCTGTGTGTCCTCCTCAACCTGTCGCAGGCTTGCTTGTCTCGGTTCTCTCAGCAAACAAATGAGCTCTCGGAGCACAACGGCTCCCTGGGTTCGATTTGAGCGGAAATAGCGACTTACAGCCTTCTGTTTATCTACATCATTTTTGCATTGCACAGCAACACGTCCAAGCCGCTTCAAGTAATAAGCATGCTACGCTGATCTATTCTGCCTCTCAGAGGCGATTCAGAAAACAGCGCTTAACGAACGTGAGATGCGCGCGTACTCAAGCTTTGATGTTCTCTAGAGCACGTGCAGTCAGATTCAAAGACAGGGGGTTAATCCTTGAAATGCATTGACTTGTTGCGAGGCAGGCACGACAATTCATGGCCAACCAGCGGTTCGACACTCCTGCCGGGTATATATCGCTACAGCAGACACCGGTCCCCTAGCACTGTTAACAAAAGGACTAGAGTATATGTGGATCTCTTGGAGTATTTGAGCAGGAGCTTTTTAGAATGTAGCAATAGATAGTCCATGGACATAGAGCAGTATCGGCTGGGGTTCGAGCACAGCTTTATTCGATACACCAATCAGGAATTGACAATTCTTGCACGCCGCTCAATTCATAACAGCTTGGGACTCCAAATATGAGGGTGGTCCCTAGTGGATCCTGAATTCCTGGTTTATATTGGGTGAAAACTTTAAGTTAAGCTAGTAAAAGCCTTTTGAGGAAGATTGAAACGGGTGTGCTTCGAGGACGATAGAGAATTCAAGAGGTATTTGAAGTCAACTTATAATCGACGAATAGCATCAACCCGTCTTCCTATTTGGTTCTCATATTAACAATGACTGTTCTCAGACTCATTGGATGACGAACGTGCCTGGCAATGACTTTGTCTAACTCTTAACTCCTAGAGCCTGCTGAGCGCCTTACTATCCGCCAAGCCAAAAAACAACCTTCGAAAGAGGCTCATTCGGGAATGACTTGTTAAATTTGGCCAAAAATGTCCATAAATTCGCTAAAGTAGACCCGAATCAACCCAAGCGTGATTGTGTTGAGGTGCGATCTTCGTATTTGGCTCCTTCATGCTCTCCACGGCCCAATAAACGGTTGTGCTGAGCCCCTGCACCTCGTATCCCCAAGGCTGAGCCTCCAGCTGTTCATCATGCTGGTCGGTAACAGAAACAATCGCAAGCCACAAACCAGCATACTTTTTGATCCCGACTCCTATTTGAACACTTGAAAATGAGGCCCCGTCGCTGTTTCTGTGCCGCATCCTCCAGCAATCGTCCACAACCTGACCTTGCGCGGTCGTCCTCAAAAGAGAGCGTGTCTCGAAACTCATAATGTTGCTACCACGAAAGTCTAGGGGCGGGTCCTCGTCCGGTGGTTATTCTTACTCCAGCAGTAACGACTCGCCATGGAACGAAGAGATTACATTCTCGATGGACGGCCTCTATGTACGCAGATCGTACTTCACTGCGCAGCTTGCTTTCGAGTTCCTCACACTGGGGGTGCTGTTTCTCTTCCTTTTCGGCTGTTTCTTCATCAGACAGCCTAAGGCGCTACCCAAGACCCTCCCTAAGAAGGGTCTCGTCTTCGGGATATTGAGCTATATCCTGTGAGTAGAATAACCGATCCCCTGTCGCAAAAGAAGATAAATCAAGAAGACGAGCCCAAGTTCTAACTTTCTCCTCTAGCGCCGAGCTCCTTACAATCCCCTACATGTTCTTCTATCTTTGCGAGGTCACAGTGAAGCAGAGCTATGTGGTCATGTTAATGCTCCAAACGATATTCTGGCTTCTCGCCGTATTTCTCATGTTCTACGTCTTCTACCGAGTCATCCAAGCATATCTCAACCGAATTGCGAACGGCGGCAAGACATTCCTTCCCGTGTCCATACTGCACTGGGTCTTGCTGGGTGTTTTGGGGATTCTCATGGTGGTCAATGCTGCCATGTACATTGCTCTCCTGGTCATGGATGTGAACGGAAGCACCCAACTGCAAATAATCGGACACTACGGCAGGATTGTTGAGGCTCGCATCATCGTCTCATGGCTGATGTCTCTGGAGATTCTCGTGTGGACAATCTTCATCATTGCGAAGTCGAGATTTAGCAGCAAGGTATGCGCCAACTTGTCATCTAACATTGTGCCTATTCGCTAATAGCCTTTGATCAGACCGGATCTATAACCCTTGCTTTGGCAGGCTTCTTCCTCTTTGTGCTTTCCCTCGAGCAGCTGATTGTGACGATCATGTACAATTTCGAAGGGAAGAGGCCGCCGCAGTATTTGAACTTGGCCACGTCAATCGTCTCCTTCTTCTGCACAATCGGCATATACTTTGGCCTCATCTTCTGCTGTATCCAATGGTGCAAGGCCAGCAAGATCTATTCTCAAGAGCATGCTCAACCCGCCCAGCATGCCCCGTATGATCAGCCCGCCCAGCATGCCCCGTACGCTCAGTCTCCTCCTCCCCCTCCGGCCCCTTACGCTCCTATGTCCTCATACCAGCCATATCAACCGCCTTCACCACAGCCCCCTAGCCATCCAGCACATTCCGGCTACTCGAGCCCTGTGAGTGGTGGCTTGAGCCCCGTGAATGGTTACTCGAACCCCGTGAACAGCAACGGACAATTTCCTCCAGCCGAACTTCACAGTGAGAGCGATGCTGGATCGCATGGGCTCACATCTAACCAACAATACCAACACCATCCTCACGCGTGAAAGGAGGGATATCAATAAGATCAGTCATCGTTTCTCACGAGAACAACTTTCCTATCCTATTTTGATGATACCATTTGCGTTGGATATTTCTCGGGTTGAGTTTTCGGCCCTCTAACAATACTTATTGAGCGATGAGTCCGACATACCATGTCTCACTTCTTTATAATTGACGAAACATACACTATGCATATAATATAACCATCTATTTAAATAAATAAAAGTAATAGTGAAAACGTTTCGCATTCTCAATAACATGCATGCCCAGTACAGCAGTCCACACGGACCAACCCCGCAGGGTGCATTATAAGCCAGTGCCACCCACCACGTCCCCACCCTGACATCAAGCCCAAATAAGCGCAACCCAACCTAGACGGACTCTTCAAGCAACAAGATCAACCATCAGAAACTCAACAACCACAAACACGCAAAACAGGAAACACAAAATAAAAAACCATGGTCTGCGCAAAATGCCAAAAGAAACTCAAGTCCACGGAGCTGGCCACCCCAGGCGTCAAACGCAAGAGTGAAATGTACTATGGCTCGCCGGCGACGACCCTAGGCGGTGGTGGCGGAGCTGGAGCTGGCCCTGCGACGAAATCGAAACCGACGTTGGGGAATACAGGTATCGGGAAGGTATGTTCTGCTCTGCTGTCCTTGATTCTTCTTTGATAATATCAAAGTGATCCAGACTAATGATGCATAGAGTAAACTGCTCAGCTCCAAGGCCAAGAATCCATATGCGGCGTACTCGTCGTCTTGTGAGCTCTGCAAGACCAAGACGGAGCAGGGGCGGAAGTATTGTCAGCGGTGTGCCTATCAGAAGAATGGTGAGATCCTTATCTTTGGTTTCCTGGGTTGATCTGTGCTGAAGCGGTTGCTGATGTGACCGATAGCTTGTCCGATGTGTGGGAAGAGTCTGGCTGGGAAGACTGCAAAGGACCAGCCCGTGGTCCAGGGGCAGAAGTTCAACTTGAAGTGACGCAGGGTGTTTTAGGTGTTCTTGTGTGTCTGTTCTTCAGCTTGGTTTGTGGTTTCATTGGGATAGAAGCTAGGCGTGGCGTTTGGGTCTATTTTACTGATACTCCAAAAGAATTCAAATAATGAAGCTGGGACAATGATTGAGAAATCAGAAAGCTAGTTATACATTTCATACTACAGCAGTATATGCAATTCAGTGACCTGTAAGTGGAAACGGTCAACACTCGACCCAAAGGAAATACTCCGCGCAACAGCTCTATCGATACAAATCCTCCTCCAGTCAAGCCAACGATAAAGAGTATCATAAATGCGATAGACGAAATTCTCTGTACTTCGAAACCTAGGCATTTACCGCTCAGCCAACATGTTCCTGATGTTGCTGTAGTACTGGGGGAGCACGAAGTTGGCAATCTCCTCCTTAGCCAGCCACTTGAAGTCCTGGAGGTTCTGCACGTTGGCGGACAGGTCAGCCTGTCCAGCCATGATACGACCCTTCATGAAGAATGTCTTCTCGCCGAACCATTGTTGGCCAGTTGCGGGGTCGGTCTTGGGGTGTCGGAAGTTGTAGACATGGTGGCCGACAGGGTGATAGCCCACCATCCAGGTGTTCATGTTCACACCAGCAGATTGTTCCAGAGTACGCTCAGCGGCCTGTCAGACGATCAATTAGTATCCCAGGACGCCCATGCGCTCGATTTCAGACACTACTCACCACGCGAAGGGTCTCCCCTGTCTCGACCGGCGAACTGGGGAGTTTCCAGAATCCCTCCTTGGTCTGGACAAGAAGATAGAGGGTTCTCTGCAGAGCCCGGTTCAGGCTTTTCTGGTCGTTCTTCTGGTCCGCCTCCGTCACTCGGGGGAACGGTCTGGGAATCTCCTCCTTCTTGCTGGTATCTTGAGAAGTGGCATTGACAGTAGCCTCTGCATCCCGCACAAGCATCTCAATCTGATGCTCTGGTTCGGACTCGACAGCCCCGACGAGCAATTCGTCGTTCCATGCTTCCTTCGAGTACGCGTTATACTTGCCGATGTCGCGTGCAGGCGTTTGACGCTCCCGGATCTTACGCTTCCAGTCCTCATCAGCCGGAGTACCCCGCTTGAAATAGAAGTATTTTGTGAATGGAAGTGCCAGTCGCTCGTTCAGCCGTTTCTGGTAGAAGAAGTACGCCTTTTCGAACGGGGTGAGATCGCGGGTGATTTGCGGAGGACGCGATAGGACCACGCCGGCCTTAATGATGTGTGTAGGTTTGACGACGGGAAATGTAGAGGCGGGAGTTGAAGCGGTTTCTGAAGCTGCACTAGGCGCAGCAGTGGAGGCATAATTGCGGCGAACGAGTGTCTCTTGACAGCTTCTGCAGACTCGGGAGTCGACTATTGAAGGCCCTGAAAAGAAGTCAGAAAACGACTTAGACGAAGCACAGAAAAGTTGATTATTGCGTACTCAATACAGACGCTATGCGCCTGGCGCCATTGGCTCCTGAAGACATTTTTACAATGCAGCAACTGGACTCTGACCTCGTCAACACAGTCCGTCCCCGATAATTGTTAAAGAAAAGTTGGCGGTCACCTGTCTGCCGCCGAACCGCGCTAGTCCTGCACGGGCTAGAATATCAGGTGACCTGAGCCTTTTTCTTTCTCATTTTTCGTCTCCCGTCTCTCCTGTTTCTTTCTTTTTCTCTCACAGCACCTTTTCCTTATCGTCAACTGTGTTAAGATTCTTCTACAACCAGTCGATCATTTAGCGGTGCTCAGAGAGAGTAGGCGGCACTTTTCGCTAGCGGTACCTTCTTAATTCAAGGTGTACTGTTAGATAGACGCTGCGTACATTCTGCTACACTGCCGATCTTGGATCATTGTAATCGAGTATGCTTCGGTCTTGAATGACGCCCTTGCGGTCGTTCGGGTCTCTAATCGATTGACGTGTCTATGTACAATCAAGAGAGCTTTGGGCTATGCGTAGTTAGGTCTTTGTATCGGTGCTTGGAACTCACGACGCACCCATCACGCAAACTCTTTCCAATGTGCCAAAGACTCGCAACTTGTTCCCGTATACTTTCCAGAAATCGGCTCCCAGCCTAGGGATGAGCTCGCCATTGGCAGCTTTCTGCATGATCTCGACAGAATCGGTAGGGCCCAATGACAATCTACGGTCATCAATAGGTATATTACTGTCGACTTCATCAATGGCCTCTTCAATTTCTAGTAGATCGAATCTCGTCCCGAGGACTCTGGTCGTTGGCGCTTTGGGAGATTCCATGCTGCTTGGTCTTGGCTTCTGCTCAAAAGACTTCTTTGCGCTTCCAGGTGTTGTTTGCAATCTGTCCTCAGCATAGGCCTCAGACGAAACATCCTGGTACGTTTGCTGGAAGTTCGAGGTGTCTCGAGCATCTTTGGTGGACTTCTGTTGCGGAAGATCTACCCCTCCATCACGGAGCTGAGCAGACAGCCTGATAAAAACTTGGGCAGTGAGCAAGCTATCGTAGCCTGCTTCATGTTCACTCTTCTGAGTAGTATACTTGGAATGTTGCGGGTGTATGCCTGTTATCTTTCTTAGCCATCAATTCAAGCGGACGATTGAGAAAGTCATGCGCACTGATTTTCGGAATTGCTTTCTTAGCCAAGTTTTCGTTGAGCTCTGAGAGCGATGACCTGGGATTGATGGACCCGCAGTTATGTGTGGCCATATATTTGGTGTCCATCAAGACAGGGAACAATTCGTGCGCCATCGACTGGAACTCTTCCACTTTGCTTGGAAGAGGCCCAAAAAAGCAACGGCAAAAGTAGATAAGATCTGAGAAAAGGTTATGGCCAACAAGAACAGGGCGATGTTCTTTCAATCGCTGCTTGAGTTTGTCTGAGAACTCATTGAGAGGGTATTTGGATTCTACAGCGGCGGAGCTCGCCATTATACCAATGAAGTAGCCGGAATCAAGATTGGTAAGATCTCCTCCAGCTAGAGCCTCAGCTACCCATCTAAAACCTGTCTGTTTCCAGGTGCGCTCCTGGACCCTCGTCACTCTTTGCTCGCGGACTGATCTCTCACGTTCCTCGTTGTAATCGATGATTTGGATGAAATCGGGTTTGCCGATTGTCACCAATGAAGGATATTCCACCTCTATCAACTGATGAACAAGCCTTTTCTGAAATCTGTTCAAGGCCGAGGGCAGAGACTTGGATGATTGAGAAACACCAAGGCGAGTTGGCGGTGGGATGTTCAGGTACTCTTCGCGTGTCTGGTACAGTGATTAGCTTCCTCAAGGAACCCAGTGATGGCTCGTCTTACCGCTCCCAGTGCGAGCCAGTCATCTACGAGACGGCGAACGGCTTTTAGGAAAGCTAATGACTCATGTTCAGTCTCTTTGACGTCGATCGAAGTGTGTACCGCAACGCGATCACGTCTTTCGATGGCTGTCGCAATAGCTTGTTCCTCTTCCTCTCGAGAGAGGTATTGGACACCTTGTTTCAAGACGGAGTCGATGCTGAACTTGTTCTCGAGCAGGAACTCAATAGCTGTGCAGATTTTGTTCAGGTTTCTATGTCTGTAACTAAGGCGGCAATCAACTCGACGTACCGCTGCTTTGCATGGACCAGTGTCTCTCCAACTCTAGTCTCCGGTCGATAATCGGACTCAAGTTTACGTTGTAGGGTTTCAAAGTATACGAAGCTGTCGAGGGTCCAAGTCAATCGTCAAGACCCAAAACGAAGGGTAAGAACTGAAGATCTGACCATTCTCGATATCCTCGTGACAGATTGTCAGCCCGACCTGTAAGATCTGATATTTATCGGCTGAGCTTTTCACTTCTTCGTAGCGAGCCTGGAGCGTCTGGGATCCCCTGTTTGGGTTCGAAGAAGTAGTAGCAATGCCAGAAAATTCGAAGTCCATGGATACAAAGCAGCATGTTGCCAAATCGTCCAGGATCCGGGGAAGATGATAAGGGAATGATTGAGCTGTTACATCCATCTTGGTCCACTGAGCTTCTGGACTGACCTATACGAGCTCCAGAGAGAGATGAAAACAAACAGAACAATGAAACGAGTTCAATTAGAAAGAAGAGAATGTTCCAGGAGCAAGTGATGTATATATCCGACTGGATTTATCTGAACGTTGATCAAAGCTAGCATGTGGGAAGACGAATGAAGTAGCGCTCGCCCCGATCGACAGGTACTGAAGCAAGTCTCGAGAGCTCCGCGTACTTCATCATCAGTGAGTTTTCGCTCAGTTATGTTCGATGCAGCAGTGACGGTTGAATATTTTTTCTACATTGGCAATGTTTGAGAAACAATCAGTCTCCTGATGGTTAGTTTGATAATTAAGATCATGATACGGAGTACTACTCCGTAGTCTGAGGTGACGGCAAATTACTAGAAGCGGTATAGCGTTCCTATTTAGGGAAAGCGTGTGGTTGACGCTTGGCATCGCAGTGTGTGGTCTATATAGCTTCCTCCTTGCCCTCTTGAGATTATGGCCAACTTTCATCACTATTTTCCTATTTTTTACAGTCTTCTAGCTCAAGACATTAAGGCATTTTCACTATTAGTCTATACATCCCATGTCCTGCACTTTGCTACCTTCTTTTATGCCTGTGAGTTCGCGCTTATCACATCCACCTAACTATCCTTGATTTTTGTGAGAATGGAATTTCTGCTTGCCTAAGAGATTAACTAACCATTAATCCTTATTTAATAGATAATATAGCATGTAAAGAGCCTTAGGTTGCAGAGAACTAGTGCTATCAGACTTCTCTGAGTAAACTAACCCCAAAACCAGTAAGAAGGAAGAGTCCACTAGGTTTAGATTAGCGAGCACCCTGTTACCCCATTAACCCTTAGCCACCTCACCCTTTATAATAGTGAATAGTTCCCAAATCTAACCCCACTATAACTAGCAAATGAGAAACCTAAGTCTCTAAGCAAATCCAACATGGCCCTGCCTCAGATCCTTATCTTCTCTGGTTCCTATGCGCGGAGGAAATAATAATTATATTATCTAGCCATGATTAGAGCCTATATTTTAATTATAGTAAAACTAGAACTTACTAATACTATTGCCTAGCTATAGTGAAGTATTAGAGTGGATATTAGAGTCGCACTCTATATTACTAGATATATTAACTTCAATAGGGCCCTCTAAATATTATATTAGTAGATATATCAAAGAATACAAGCATATGGCTTACTATACCTAAGCAATGTTAGGCTAGCTAGATCAGTTGCTGAATACCTATAAAGAATAATAAGTATATATTATACAAAATAATCCTACTCAATAATTCACACACCCAGAGATACCTTATTCTAAAAATAGACTATATTGCATTTATAAAGAAGCCTGCAGACCAAATGGTTAAAGACCCCTGAAACTTGCTCTAACAGTGATTAGTATCATCCTTAATAATAGCTAGGCGTGCTTGGGGACTCCTGAGAGCCTTACCACTTAATCCAGGCTGTTAGTGTAAAGTCTAGAGCAGAATGTAGAATATACTAAATCACCACCTAGAGGTCCAGTTAAGGACATCTATGYGATAGCGCAGGGCCTACCTGTAGTCACCCTCCCTGAGTAGTATATAAAGACTGTTCCCACTATATTAAGACTGCCTGATACACTTTAGGCCATGATTAGTTGTGTTATATTCAGTGTCAACCATTAGTCAGGGTTTCTTAGTATATGTCTATAATAGCATTACACACTTAGTCTTAGTAAATTTCTTTTTAAATGTCAGTTGCCAGCAGCTAATAAAAGGAGTAATTAATAAGAAGGTAGATAAAGATAGTCCCAGGGATGAACTCAACAAAGACAGAGTTTGGAATTTAAGAATGCTGAGAAGGTGCTATAGCTTAGTAGACAAAATGGAATACACTAATAGATCTAGATATCCTTTGAATTAGTATTATACTTTTAGCTTAAATATGCTTCTGCTTACAATACTAATATAAATAGGGATGTATAGTGGTTATACTATCTGCTAATTTTATGCTTAAAGAGAAGTTAATAGATAAATATAATATTAAAGTTATATTAGATACAACAGGATTTAAAGACTGCTAGGATACTTTAGTCCTAGGAAGTTCCCTAGCAGTGTGGGGAAGGAGGTCATAGGGAATCCCTATCTTAGTAGATAAATACTTTAACCAAAATACCACTCTGCTGATATTTAATGAACAGAAATAATATAAACAATATCACTATTAGGCTTCTTATCCCTTCTCCTAGTGACATGAGCAGAAGCAGCTCCCCTGACTATAAGGCCCTTTTTCTTAAGGTAGAGGAGGAAAGGAAGCTGGCAGAGGAATGCTAAAGGCAGGCAGAGGAATATCAGAGGTAGGCAGAGGAAAGAGAGAGGTAAGAGAGGGAGTGCAACTAACTAACAACTCTTTAAGAGTTTATCTAATATTATTATAATCTCCTTTAGCAGCTGCTATGAGCTAAAGTGCCTTCTTACTCTATAACTAGCAAGCTAATACCCCCTACTAGAAAATACTGCCCTATACAGCTGCACCTATAGGCAGATTGTGCTACTGTATAATATGAAATCTATATATTAGTTTACTGCTACCTACAACCTCCCAAAGAGGATGCCCTATAGTTATTTATACTACTTGTTATGTTAGAAGACTATAGCTAATAATTTATATGTTAACCAATTAGTAGTAAACAGGATCTTAAGACTTATAAGCAACTAGCTATTAAAGACTATATATATAATATCTTTACTAAGCTATGCAAAATACCTAATGTATAAGAGGAGTTCTAATTAGGCAGCAGAGTGTGGTTTAATAATCATGCTAATACTCTAGATAAAGATGATAAAATAGATACTAGCTAGACATCAACCATAAAACCTTCTAAACCTGATTAATTTTGCATCTATTAAGTTAATAGTAACATAAGTACCTTGCTTATAATGATTAAATACAAGCCACCCCATAAGCTCTCCATGGCAAGCCTGTGTGAGGGACTCTAACCAATAGATTTCTGGTAAGAAATCATTAAACCTAATACTATTCTAACAGAAGAGCTAGAGAAGTTAAGATATAACACCACACAGTTAGTTAGATCAGTAATTATCTAAGAATTTCATATAATAATTTAAGAAGGTCTCAAGTATTTATATTTAATAAACAGCCTTATAGACATACAGCTCTGGGTGCCCTATAATAATCTAAGTACTCTCTATTACAACCTTAGTAACCCTAGTATATATAGAATAGTAGGTGTTAGAAGACCTGGGATACTAAGGACTTAGATTAAGAGGGCTCTATATCTCTGTTTAATAAGTTTCTATTCCTCCTATTATAATTAAGCCTAGCAGAATGATGCACAGAAATAACTACTAATTTAGTATATAAGTTTTAATAATAAGTACTCCTATATCTTAGCAGCAGGACTACTACAGCATCTAAGTATAGACTATGCTAGCTCTAAATATACTAGTCCTAAGCAGACTATCTCTGAGTATCTCTCTTTATTATCTCTAGTAGGGTCTCCTATCACTAAAGGCTATTAGGTAATCATATAATCAGCCTCTAGCTGCACACCACTATCTGACTAGCATGACTAGGAAGGTTCTTTAGATTCTAAGGTAGACCCTGTTGCATCTGCTGGACAGAAGTAGGGTTTTAGCTGGGTTATATTATCCCCTCTAACCTAATAGTCTGCACCCTGAGCAGATCCCTAAGGGAACCAAAGCAGGTAATCTTATTAATATATTACTTAATATTATATATAAAAGTGCCTTCTAGGGCTGCAGTAGGGTGGCAGGCTTAACCCTGATTATCTAAATACAGAGCTATATATACTTAGCAGAAGTAATAACCACTACCTAATCAGTACAGAAGACCTAGTAAAGAAGCTTAAGGCATAGCTTAATTAAGATCTAGATTATAACTGCACTCTAATAGGCCCTTATAGATCTTATAGGGTGCTATTTAAGATTACTTATACTATATTTAGATATACTATTATTAGGAAAGGGACAACCTCTAGACTCTGGAAAGTGGTATCATGCAAGGCAGATGTTTACTGTGTCCTCTAGCATACCTAAGGATTAGTAGTTCTAGTCTTCCTTAGAGCTATTAATTTAGCCCAGATTTACTTCCTCCATGGCACAGGAGAAATCTGTTATATGCTCCTTATGGGCTGGGGTAGTAAAAGCATGAGTTATATAAACCTAGATAAGACTATCCAGCATGCAATTTCTTAGTCAGTAAAGGAAATACATTCTCTAGGCATTTTCTATCAGGATCTTTATCTAGAAAATATATTATAGAATACAGAACTTAAATAAGCCTTAATTATTAACTTCTATTAATATATATTAGATAATTAGCTAATGCACAAGCAGCTAGGTTCTCTTAAATAACTACAGTATGGCTACAAAGAATGTAAATCAAAAATATTGTGTGCCATGTGAGTTAAGGCCACTAGAGATGGGGCTAGGGTATCCTAACTTCTAGAAGTATTATTTCTATAAACTAGATAAAAAGGGGTCCAGTCTTATTTAGCTTCCTTGCTTATCCAGTATATATAGTATATCAGAGTCAGTATTGCATCATAACCGCCACTCAGACTATAGTAGAGGAAATTTGCTTTAAATATATAAAGACTCACTTCCCAGATATATTAGCTGAGAAATAATAGATTACCTAGAGTTAACTAAGTTAACAGAGTAGCTAAAGATACTATTAAAACTTTCTATTACAAGGCTAGAATTTACTATGCGCTCTAAACTCTGCAGGGGTATGCTGTCCCTATCTATCTTAGAGATATCTATCTGCAGCAGAATATATATAACTTACTAACCTATGCTGTTGTGTATATTTACTTAATGGCCCTGGGGCAGAAAGGTATTAAAGAAAGACTAGTATTTATTCTTTAAGAATGAAATTAACTGAACAAGCTCTGAACTCAGCAATACTGGTATTAAGCATCTTATTAACATCAGCTATACAAATCATTAGGAC